ACCTCATTCATCCTGCATAGTTGGACCTTTGATAGAAGTTGCTCCATGGGGGTGGCAGGGATAACAGTAATTCCGGAGGAGAAGGAAGTCCTGAAGGACTGCTAATTTCGAAGAAGTGGAAGACAGTAACTCTAACCCTTCGTGGCAATGCGTGCTGTAGGACTTGCTGTCAATGTCTGTGACCTCAGAAGTCTTTTTTGTCTCAAACAATTACGGGCCGAACAACGTGGCATTTAACTGAAGGATTTTCACTGACAGTTTTATTTGACTGAGGTGCCCCAAATCTGATCCTATTTTATTAATTTCCATCTATAGTTATTTTGATTTACTACTTTTGTCTCCTAAAGACACTTATATCACTGATATTTCACTAAATGTGATTAGTTGGAAAGATGACATTTACTGTTGTCATGCACAAAGAAAAAAAGGTTTCCAATGTTTTGCACTAAGAACTGTGAATAATGTAATAAAAATATATAGTAACTGTCATTGAAGGCTGCACAGGAAATTTAAGAGAAGATTACAAAAGAGGAAGAGAGATTGTTTTTATTTGCGTGCTATCACCTTTGATGCTGCTACTGAAATGTCTACCTGTTTATTTACAGCAAGGTTGTCTGGAGTTGGTCTTTAGTGAAAAAATAATGCAACACTTGAGTATGCTTCTGGATTTGTAGCAGGAGGCTTTGAGGATTTGATTCCTGTACACTTCATTTGCCAACCAGCAACATGCTTCCCCATCCAGAAGAGTTTTTTTACATTTTCCTCCCACTGTTTGGAGTTTGGTAACCAATGGGTGGATTGCAATTATCACAGCACATGGAGATGCAGACTGTCTTTTTATCTCTGCATATATGTTATACCAATGCTTCTGAATTTAAACCCATTGAACATGAGCAGGGCATGCCGATTCCTTCATTCCGGTTGAAACTTGGGTCAAAAAGAGTATTTATCTTCTTGATTCTTGGAGTATCCAGGAGTCCAGCGTTTTACAACAAACACAGGCTCCAAAACACATTCAGAAACGCTGAAGTCAGCGAGCCGAGTCAATGGCACTACTTCAGTTCTTCAGTCTTTTGCAACCTTTGAACAGCCAGAGCAACACAGCCTCTAAGAAACACTCCCATGTGACTCCTGCACCTATAGCTTTGGTTTTCAGTCATATAAGAAACTCTATCAAGCCCAGCTCCATATTGGTTGATTGGCAAACTGTTGATGAGAGGAAGAGCCAATGCCCTGATGAAGGAAACATTAATCCTTCCTCTCCCTTCCCGCAGCTCCGGCTCAGGTGTACAACCTGTGAAGAGACTGCTCCCCCCTGAGAAAGCAGTGGCTCCCCAGCCAGAACCCACAGCAGAAGCTGTGAGGGGACAATTTTGGTCACTCCGTTTTCATTAGTAATAGGAAATGAAAAGAGCTGACCATCAGTCAGGATGAAAAACTTAGTTCTGCTGGTGTCATTGCCAGTTTTCAGTCCTCCAACACCTTCTGAAGTCACCATCACAAAATGGTGACAGCCCCACAAAATCCCCCCATCCCAGAGGAGCCATTATTTCAGTTATTCTTGTATCAGGAGCACAAATAAGTGTACAGGGCTGAGCTGCAGACATATCTGTCCTGCTTACGTTGATGCTTAATGTGCCTGCTGCTTTGCTAACAGTACAAAACTGTGGTGTGGCACCTTGTGCTCTTCAAGCTGTACAGGTGCAGGAGCACTCTTCTGTGCCTGTTGTCTGAAAAGAGTGATGAAAGTTTACATATTTACTTTCCTAACACTATTTCTTGCCCTCCTTTCCCCATCTCTCCAGCAATTGAAATGTCACTCTCCCTCCTTTTGGCAGACCGCTGCTTTTCTCAGGATGCACTCTACAAGCCTGTGTTTTCCTTCCTTACTCTGACCACATTTTTACAAGCACACTGAAACATCTGTCTTGAGGTTTTTCTGTTCTTTGACTCGATCTACCTGATAATGGTGTTTTAGCTTCTACCTCCCAGACTGCAGGGTCTTGAAGTACCAACTTCATTGCTTCTTTTCAAACAGAATTGCCTCCCATTTCGGGAGGGGTGGGTGAAGACATCTGGCTAGGAAAGAAGGGCACGGTGCAAGCTGTTTGTAGTTTGAGATCTCCATCTCCATTTATTTCTGGGCAGGGAAACGTAAAATAAACTTTTCCTCTGAACTTTAATGGGCAATAACGTATTTTGAGAGGGTTTTATATTTTATTGTTGTCTTAAAAAAAGAATTTCTGGGAATTTATAGGTCCCAATCAGATCAAATTGACCATTTTTGCTTGTTGCATGATAAGATGCCAAAACCTGACAAGCATTTTCAGGAAGAAGGCCATCGCATGGTGCTTTTAACTGTTTATGTATGTGACTTGAGATACTGTTTGAACGAATGGATTTAGCTGGCCTGTATTACCTCACTGGTGGATTAGGGAGGGGCAAATTGTATCCATAGTATTCAAGACATGAAGGTAAGCGAAAACTGTAACATGTTTGAGAATTTTCCTTTTTAAATAATTACCTTGTGGAGCTAGAGGTAGTACAACTCAAGGCTGTGTCTCAATGGAAACAAATACAAGTTCTCCATCATTCTTGCCCATGACAAATTCTGTAATATTTTACAGTTTGATGTTATATTTTGACCTTGATTTTATATTTTGGCTTATTTCTGTACTAAGAGTTTTTAATGAAAATTCCCATTCAAGCCTGTTTGGTAGTCCTGGACATTGATGGATGAGAGAACTTAAAAGTTATCTGTAGCTTCAAGTTGTAACAGCCTGAGTACGTGATGGGAAACTAAGAACCTTTGGGTCTCCAGCCTTATCCGTAGTATCATTAACTCCTTGTCTGGCCATGTTCCCGTCATATCACTCCAGTGGAGAAACGGTTCAAGGAGCACCATCAGCTCCACAAGAGCCGGTAGGTGCAACGGGTGTGCGTCTAGTGATGTGCACAGCTGCATGCCCTGGCAGGCTGGGGGCTACCCCTTCCCGAGCTCCCTGCGCGCTGGTGAAGAGGGTGGTTGGGCAGAAGTGCGTGGAAAGTGAAGGGACGAGGCTGTGGCTGAGGACAGATGTGGCCTACTGGTTGCTCCATGAGCTGCTACCACCGCGGCTGCAGCACCGTGGGCAAGAACTCATCCTGCCTGGCTGGGGTGGCCTTGTCGCCTGGCGCTGTGATGTGACAAGGCAGCCCGGCCCTCCTTGCCGGAGACCTCCCTCTGCACCCCGGCACGACAAGGCAGGAGGCTCCGCGCTGGCGTGCGAGGGACGAGCTCCCTGCACCTCTCCCTGCTCCCGCGGCGGGGGAAGGCCTGAGCTCAGGGTTTCCACCTCCTTGGGACAGAGCCGGGCGCCCCCGGGGCTGCCCGAATTGCCCCGCCGCCCCCTCCAGAAGGGCCCGGCGAAGGGACG